GTCACGTCTCATTTCCTTTAAGGAATCGTGATAAGCCAAAGTTCTTATTTTCAACTTAGTCCAGTTTTATTTTCCTCTTTGGCAGTTATAGTATTTTTATGTCTTCCTTAAGAAATCCTTTTCACTTTCAGATAAGGATGTTACCTCTTTGTTTTCAGCATGCAAATTCTCAGTGTACTCAATTGACCTACATCTGGTCTGAAGGAAAGGTCATTTTGTTTTTGCGCAAATGGATAACCATTTTCTTCAGCTCCATTGAAAGAACGGTGGTTTCTTCTTACCCTACTACTGAGGCATGTTACCTGTAGTGCAATTAATCACATAATACGGCCTGCTGTTAATGCCATCAAGTCAGTTCCAACTCATGGTGACCGTATACAGGGTTTCCAAGGTGCAGGTGGTGGGTATGGACTACTAACCTTGTGGTTCACAGTCCAGTGCTGATCCTACAGCACCACACCAGGAATCCATGGCCCTTCTAGCCCTAGTGCTATACTGTGATGTACTGTCAATCCTGGAGCCCTGGTGTGGTGCGTAAGATAAGCACTTAACTCTAAAGTCAGTTTGAACCACAAGGTCAGCAGTTAAAACTCGCCAGTCGCTCCTTGGAAGCCCTATACAGGGTTGCTATGGGTCAGAATCGATTCAACGGCACTTAACAACAGCAACAACACTATAAATCCTAGCCCCAATGCCTGTGGTTATAGTCCCATTTCGGAGTAAGTTGTCCATTATGTTAATAAGGCAGGATTCAGGTAGGCTGTCACCTTACTTGAGGGAATGACTCAACTCCCTGCCCATCCCCCACTTGGGGGTGTGGTCTGTGTCCAAGATACCTGGACCAATCTACTCTGTATCCTATAGGTGGCTCATCTTCATCCTGACCTCTGGTTCTTGGGACCGGAGACAGCAGCCTATCATCTGGCCTTATTCACTAGCTTTCGCAGCCCTGTGAGCCAACAGCCTGGCGTCTGACTTGCCAGGTTCGGTTCATAAGGTCCTACTACCACATGAGTGGGAGTCTTGCTATGGGGCTTTTGGCTAATGCATTAGACTGCAAAGTCATTTCAACTGCAAAGATCGGTGGTTCAAGCTCACCAGCTGCTCCTTGGAAACCATACTATACAGGGTCGCTATGGGTCAGAATTGACTTGAAGACACGTAACAACAACCACATGAGTGAGGAGAATCCTTGACACTGAAGTCTGATCCAGTTTGGGGACTTGCCAGCCTCCATAGCTACATGAGTCATTTCCTTGACAGTATATGAGTTCTGAAGTGAGACGTAGCAGGGAATTCACATCCCTAAGACATGAGGTAGAATACGGAGGGGAGGAGGAACAGTTGATGTCAGAGATGATAGATTGGTACAACCACTTGAAAAAGGTGGATATCTGGGACCTCTTGAACCTACAAACTACAGAGACCAATCTTGTGCCGATCTACCTAAAAGAAATTATTTGTGTGTTGCCTCTGAGTTACACTATGGTTCTGTGCATGAAGGGGTCGGCTTCTAGGTTCAATTTTATTTCAATTTACCATCCCTGCACCAAATGCCAACGCCTAACTTAACACAGCCTCACAAGCCTAATGACTAGTATGACGACTCTACCCACCATGCTCTGCTTTTGAGAAGTGTCTCCTTTATTCTTAGCCCTTTGCTTTCTTATAAAGCTTTAAATCATCCTGAGTTTCATGAAAATTCTCTTCGAATTATAGATTAATTTGGGAAGAAATGCCATCTTACTGATATTAAGTCGTGGGCCTGGTATATCTCTCCATTTATTTGTTGTTGTTGTGTTAAGTGCCATCGAGTTGGTTCTGACTCAGAAAAACCCTGTACAGGGTTCCTGAAGAGCGGCTAGTGGGTTTGAACTACCAACCTTGCGGTTAGCACTCCAATGTTTATCTTACAGTTCCACACCAGAACTCCTTCCATTTATTTGCATCTTCTTTAATATACATGTATATTATAATTTTAGAGTCCCAGTGTGGCACTGTAGTTTAAGCACTACGCTGCTAACTGCAGGGTCCATGGTTCAAACCCATCAGCTGCTTCCTGGAAATCCTATACAGGGTCGCTATGAGTCAGAACCAATTCGACAGCACTTAACAAGCAAGACAAAAATTATAATTTTACATATAAGTATTGAACATCTATTATTTTCCTTAGGCACTTGATATTCTCATAGTTGCAGTTCTACAAGCTGACAGTCCACACATTTCTATAGCTCAAATTTCCATTCCTTCATTGCTTCTTGTTGGTGAGGGCCGTCGAGCCAGCTTCAACTCACAGCAACCCTAAGTAGGGTTTTCAAGGAGCAGCTGGTAGGTTTAAACTGCCAACCAGGTGGTTCACAGTCCAGTAAACTTTTCTATTATTATGAAGACATTATCTCTATATTACCTAAGCTGTTATTTTTTTGGGCCTAAATCACATCCTATATCGACACAATTATTATGTCAAATATAAAGTAACTAAAATGGAAACACAAGAAGGTAAAACAAGCTGACCAAAACAAACACACAAACAAAAGAACCAACATGGCAGACGCAGGGCCTAAATCTAGGAAATGTCAACAGCTGCTCTGAGTCACAACTAACTTGATGGCACTTACAATTAGTATGCTACACTGCTTGCTATTGTACATACAAAAAACAACATACAAATATATAATATTCAAATAATTCTTATTCATATATTCAACACTGTCAACCTTGATACATACACAAGAACAGTATTCAATACAACTACAAATAAGGAGTCCTGGTGACTCTGTGGACTAAGCATTGGGCTGCTAACCACAAAGTCCATGGTTCAAATCCACCAGCGGCTCTTCAGAAGAAAGATAAGACCATCTGCTCTTGGAAACCCCATATACGGTTGCTGTAAGTCAGATTCAACTCACTGACAGTGGGTTTTGGAAGGCTTTACATATATGTAACCATTTATTTGAAAATAAAGGATTTTTTAAAAATATAAAGTTGAATGCTTTTAAATTCTTCACCTTTATCAAACACAAAGCTTCCAGAGTTTTCTATTTTATAGTTATACCTTTTTCTAATTTCTATTGCTTTCATTAAGGAGCTCTGGTAGCGTAGTGGTTACAAATCGGGCTGTGAACCTTAAGGTCAGCGGTTCGAAACTACCAGCCGCTCTGCGGGAGAAAGATGAGGCTTTCTACTCCCGTAAAG